ACTGGGAACGATTCATGTACGGTAAACTTGTGCCAATGTGAGCATGTGATTGGGATTTTCTTTGCATGGTTTTATGCAAAATAATATATAGTATTATATCTAAATTGATACCTCACAAACAAAATGAACATGTTTCAAGGGACATCAAGGTTGGACATCCGCTTTTGGGACACATTTTTTCGGTGGTTACCTCACCCTCGAAGAAAGTGACCTCATGGCAGACCCCATAGATGGTGTAGCAATGCCTGCCCCTTTTTTTCTTGGCAAAGGAAATCCAGGACCAGGAAGTTCCATCCGTTATACGTAATTGTACGTATATACATATACCCAATGTTACAACCTTACAATCTTCCTCGTTTTCGGGTTGGCTCAAAACATGTAGCGGCTCAATTTCAGAAGGGGTCATGTGTTTGACTTTAATGCTGGGCTGCCGCCTAAGCAGATTTGGCCCCAAAACGTGGCTCCTAAATTTCTGGGCTGCAACAGGGGTACCCTCTTTATTAAAGGAATTATTTAAGAGTGAGCCTGCCCCATTGAACACATTAGCGAGTATTTGCGGGCTCGCTCAAACGGAACGGGCTAGCTCAGCAACAGCGTGCTAGCTCAAGCACATCCGTCTAGCTCGTTGGCATCGAGCTCGCTCAAAGGAATGTAAAACACACGAAAGAAATTGAGCGCTTAAAGTTAGGATGAGCTGGCAAACGAATGGGAAGAAGGGAAATCGAATACATAGAATGAATTGGGCGGGGAATGGTGTACTGACACCGCACCAACTCAAGGTGATGTTACAGGCTCAATTTGTTCGAGTTGTTTTGTTGGTTGAAATTTTTGAGCGCGTAACGAGGCACTGAGTGCGTAACGAGACACTGAGGGAGTCACGGAATGGTGAATCTGTACTGCGCGGGACCGATGGGTTTTCGGACGCGGCCTTTGCAGTTCCAACAAGTCTAACTACTGATTGATTTTGGCACCATACAAGATGAAATTGAAGACTGGTAGCCTATACAAATGTAATCCCAACCATTTGATTTTGGTAAATCTGAGGCAACATCAGTTCTTTGATAGTCCTTTTCTAATGTATATTTGCATTGTATTGTATATTATACCGGTATTATACTATATTAATTATACTATATTATAATTTTAAATGTATTTTATTTTATTAAAGTAAATTATATTATGTGTTATTATTTATATCTTGTATTAATATTCACATGTGAATGATACCAGGGGAAATTGGTGATTGTCATTTCATTCCATTTAGGTAATCGATATCATTGATATTGATGTAATTAAACTTAAACTGTTCAGTTGACATTTCTCGAAGTAATTTTGATTCATCAAACATCACTTTTCAGTACAAAAAAAAAACCATCCCCCATCTTCAGAATATTTTCCTTTTTAGAGGCCTACTATTTGTAGTATAGGGAATTTTCATGAATTTTCCAGCTAACCATGATTGGTTACTGGAGGGTGGCAACTTGGAACTCATCTTCCGCCACTTCGGGGATTTCCTTGTTGCTTTCCAGGGACGATATATATTCAAAATGAGTTCAACTCCAACTCCAACCAAGATTCTTATCCAACTAATGGATTCAAATTTCCAACTTGTTGAAATCTGATTTTTTCCAACCAGCCAACTAATGAATCCAATCTCTCCCCGAAAACGGTTTTGTTTTTCTTCCAGCGTGTCCCTTGTCGCTAGCTGCTGCCAGGCCACATTGCAGTATTCGGTCTTCGAGAATTACATCTCGGCCCTGCATCCAGGCAAGTCAGCTTCAACATGTGCCATGGTCAAATTACGTGGTTTGTTTTCCCATTGTGGTTTTGGGATGGTCAGCATTTTTTTTTCATAGGGATTCATATGCCCATGATGTTTGGATTCCGGATATGGGATGGATGACCATATAGATCCATGTAGCGTTGGTTGCTACTAGAGGGCATCCTCCAGCAAATGACTGAACATAGATTCATGCATCATGAAATACCCAGCAATTGTAAATTGTTTCCCATGGAAACCATTGGTTTTCCAAATCTATGTGAATTTACTGAAGGATAATCCGTCAATTAACAGCCAATAGGTAATAAACAAGAAAAAACATCATACTCGTTATCCCTTCCCAATGTTTACATTCCTGCACAGCCCCATTGTTTTTGAACATGTAGCCAGTGTTTTTGCATTTTCCCGACAATGTTGACCCTGCGTGTGTATATATAACTATATATATACATTTATCGTACATTACATTACGTTACATTGCGTTACCTTACATTGCGTTACATTACATTACATGGCATTACATGTATACTGTATATGTATGTATACATAACTATATAATATGGTAATATATATATATATCTATATGCGCGCATATATAATATTTACAGTATATACCTTTGCATCTAACGTGTATGATATAAACATATACTGCAGTTTGTGTTTTCTGATATCACCCATGTACACAAGAAAAACATTAAGCATTTGCAAATTGATTTTTGCCAAAAAATGCAATTTGTGTGAATTCTCCCGAACGTGATTCTTAACCAATTGGATTCGAAAACAGATGAGGAGGACTTACCGAACACGGTTTTACCAACAGAAATCAGTGGTTTAATCATGAAAATATGTACATTGATGGGTATTAATTTATATCATTAAGGGAAATATAATGGAATATATTGTGTAATGAGAAAATAACGGAGATACAAGGAGGAAGGATTGTGATGGTACAATGTGGTGCCCCCGTTTGTTGACTTGGGAACCACGCAACTAGGCTAACTGGTGGGTGAACATGGGGGATATATCGAACCAGTGAACTGGGTTTATTAAGAAACCAACATACAGAACTGGGAGTAGCACATTGTAGGAATGTCCACTTTCTTAGGATTTCTCCAACCAAGGGATCTAAGCCGGACAATTCTCCACCAGTCGGGTCTCAAGTCGTGATGCGTCCCTGGACCGCTTTGGCTCAGAATTGGTAGATGGTTTCACCAACCAAAGCCGAGGTTGAAAGATGCCCAACACACAATTTGTGATTTGGTCAGCCATGATTCGGCCAGAACACCCTCCGAAAAACCACCAGCTTATTTGGAAGGACTCAGTTGTGACAGAGTCTGACGAATCAGATCCCACCGAGGGTATGTAGAAGTCCTCAGATCCCACCCAAAAATCGACATCAATTAGCCCCAAAGGAACAACACTCAGCACCACTGCACCACTAGTTCTGGTAGCGACTGAAGTCGTTCACTGACAAGTGGCCTGGGGCTCGGTTGCGCAAGCTGGTAATGCAACAGTTTGTTAGCTGGAGAAAAAAAACGTTTTTCAATAGGTGAATCATCCATAAATGGGCCACGTTCATCCATTTTCCACAGTTATGTTGAATGGCCAGAGGGGTCCAGAGGGTATATTCAACTATCATAGAGGTTCATCTGAGTAGGGGTTCATGTTTTCTTCATGCTCAGGACATCATTGGAATCCCAATCATACTATCACAGAAGGACTGGACCCCTAATGGATTGATGTGAAGGACAGTTTACAGGAAACCAATGGAAACCATGTTGTTTTTCCAAGTAATCATAGGGGGTTGCCTGTGATTTTTCCTCTTCAATTCTAGGAATCATGTGGTACTGGTATCCCAGCTTATTAGGCAGCCTGGGAGCTAAGCGAAGTCTCGCGTAAATTACTAGTAAACATATGTAAACATGGGATGTCCTTTGGTGTTGTGTAAACTTGATATAAACCAACACACTGGGCCACTGGGGCACAACGGGCGTCTTTGGCTTGATTCGTCGATGGTCGGCTGAGGTGTGAAATCTCGATGGCCACATGCTCAGTGTTTAGAGCGCGGTTGTGCTCTAATATGTTTGCCATACAAAAAAAACATACTGAATTAGTATGAATGAGTTATAAGTTATAAGTTATAATTAGATTATTATAGATAACTATTAGGTATATGTTGTATTGACCACTTGTCATTCGTATGTTGTGGAACTTTGTTTGGAACTGGACATTAAAACCAGCAAGATGATCTGCCGGTTACCCCGGTGGAACCAGGATCCCTTTCCCAATGGAAACCAGCAGATGTTGGAGATGGGAAAGCTCCAAAGGGTGTGGCAATCGTTGGAGTCACTGAACACATCGAAATCACTTCAAGTCCCTATCATATCTATCATGAGCAATTATTGTTTGGAGAAAAACATTACACACGTCATGAATCTCAGAATGGTTCGAATCGCCACTTGTTTTTTGTTTAGTGCATTTTAGACTCAGGTGTTTGGACTCAAAAGTGGTCACAACTGCCACTGCTCTACCGTGAGAGGTCATGTCCCATACCTTTACTGGATCAAATCCTGTTAAAGGTATGCAGAGATGGCTAGACATGATGTTCTCAGAGGATTACTATGTCGCTGCGTTTCATGCATTGTCATACCCAGTCCATCCAATGTATGCGACATTTGTACATACATCCGCAAGCGGGTATGTGTCAAGTCTTTTCCTAGCCTTGGGAAGGTGTTTTCATCCTAAAAATGGACCAAGTCATTTGTGGTTGACTCATGACGAGGTCCACAACAGAAGCCTATCAGGGGACCACTTGATGTAGATCCCTTGATCGATTCAATGACGTCACTGGAACTAATGATGTACGTGCAATACGGCAATACCTATCCCATACATTCTCATACTCAAAAAAGCACAGACATTGCAGCTTGGTGAACTACCATTCTCATTTGCACCCAGATTTGTGGTCCATCTTTGGTTATACTATCCCAATATATCCCAATATTGGTGGTCAATGTTGGTTATATACAGTTATACATCCCAATATTGTTGGTTTTATCATGTTATCTCATATCTCAGATATACTATCCCAATATATCCCAATATACTGTCCCAGATCTCCTCATGTTATTGGTTATACATCCCATTTTTGTTGGTTAATGTTCGTCATAGCCTTCACGATCTCCCTATGGTGTCCGGCTGGCCAAGGTGTAACGCTGCCATGGCGGAAAACTCGTCTTATGTGGAGGGCAGGCACGAGACTCGGAAGGGGCCCCATTAGCTAAGTTGACTAACTTGCTTAGGGTTGATAGGGGATATAAATATAATATAAATATAATATACATAAAATATAAAACATGATATAGCTGTAGTTTGATGGGGTTATAAACCAACTTATAACTAGGGGTGCTTTTTTACATGATGTTGACCAATTTTGGCAAAGCTGGGAATTCGATGGGGATTGAAACAGCAGAAATCCAACAGCACTTGGTTTACCATGAATTGGGCTTGAGCGGGTGGAAACATCGGAGTATGAGGTGCAAGGAAAATCGGTTGGTGGTTTCAACTATAGTAACTGTAGGTTTGTCTGAAAATGGTGCTGCCCCAAATAGATCATCTTGCCGTAAAACGGGAAACTTGTGGTCAACCGGCAACCTGGGTACTTTCTCTTGAGATAGACCCAGGTATGTCTTGCGTTCAAATCCCACTTCGGATGATGATCCCATTTTGACTCCAGTCTGTACAGATTTTCCCATGTTTTCCTGTGGGTTTACTTTCAGCCCTTTTGAGGAGGGCCGTGCAGAATGAAGTGATCTTCTCGTTGCTGATATATGTCAAAAATACACTTTTATCTCTGGCATGATTGATACATCTACTGGATCCACTATTGCAAGTTGGATCCAGGAATGGTTTATATATACGTATATATTTATATAATAATAATAATGATAATAATGATTATTATTGTTATTATAGTATATTTTTATAATATATAATATAATCATTATATATACATATGTATATATATGTGTGTATGATAATGTATTTATATATATATGATTATATAGACGTCGACGTTTAAGATATCCTATCCCAACAAGCTGCGCCAGAGCCGGCTCGCCAGGCTCTTAGACGGCTTCCTGCTGTTGGCCGCTGGCGGCTCCAACACTCCCGATGAGGTGCGTACGTCGGACTGGTAAGGTCAGTGGGAGGGCTCTTCATGGGGATATCATCATTATATCAATGGATTGGTTTGTGGGACAATTTACAGGAAAACCTTATATTTAATGGGAAAATCTATGGTTTCCTGTAAATTTTCCCCTAAACCAATCCATTGATTATAGCAATTGCCTGGCTCATAATTATACACATATGCAGGTATGATGGAGTATATCCATTCCAAACATAAATGTTGTAAATATACATATATATATATATGTTTATGCATATTAGTGAAAATGACGCTATTCAAATGGTTTGCGCAGCCAAGTGGTGCATGTAGGCAAACTTTGGTGGGGTTGATGGCTTTCTTCTTTGCGTACAAAACAAAATGCATGCAACACATTATACGTATATGATATATGAGTAGCAACAGTTTGTACAGTACTAAATATGGATAGATATGGTTGTCCCCACTTGTCCAATTTGTATTCATCAGTCAGTCTCCCACTAAATTTATATGGATGTGGTGCTCTCCAAACATACCGTGATCACACGAGATTTAATGACTTCTCCAAGAATTGCTATCCCCAAGACCCAGTGATGGGAAATTGAACATCCCCAATGTTCAAATGGTAAACCGGGTAAACGATACAAAGTCATGCGTCATTTCAACATATGTTCAACCCCCCAACTCGCAATAACCAATGGGTAAATGGAGGGTTCCTAAAAGGGGGTACCCCCAAATCATCCATGTCCATAGGGTTTTCCATTGTAAACCATCCAGTGGGGGGGTACCCCATGACTATGGAACCCCCCAAGTCATCTATTTTCGGCCAAAGAAAGTGGCAAACCCTTGGTGCCATGGTTGTAGATCCCTGATCATCAGATATTCTCGGCAATGTGGGAGCTTTGGCTGCGTTTGACACCCATGTTGGTTGATGATGTTATTGGAATCCCACTCTGAATTATTCCCAAAGATCAGCCAGTCACAAATCGGTATGGATACATGGGGTTGAACTCACATAGATATGGAAAAGCCATGGTCTCCCCAGGAAATGATTTTCTGGCAGTCAAACATGGCAATGGAACATTCCCTATAGGTTGGATGATTTTCAAAGTTAAATCCGTGTTTCACTGTGTTAGTGTTACCACTTTTTGTTTCAACTGGTGCAGGATGACTTGTCCATCCACAGCCAAGTCCCACCATCCACAAGTCCAGTCCCCATGGGATGGTTCCTAACTTTCCAAGGTGATCACTGTGAATCTCTCCTCCTTGCAGATCGTAGATATCGCAGAGGAGGCGACCCACTGGCCGGTGCTGGTCATCAGCTGAAAAAATGGCTGGTGACATCCTCATGTGTGCTGTACCAAATCACCATGGATTGCTTGGTTACGGTGAATGGATGTAAATGGTACCTATTGTAAGCTAACATAGATGTGGAAGACCTTGGAAGACCTCTAGTTTCCCCAAGTAAATAATCTACAGATGGTTGATTTTCCACATCGAACTGTTAGTCTATGAAGCACCCATTTTGTTCATCTCGACAGCAGAGGACCTGTCCTTCTTTGCCCAGCTCTATCGGGTGGACTTAAGCGACAACCAGCTGGGTACCTGCCTTGGAGACAGGTTGGCGATATCCCCAAGGGAGATTCCAATCGGAAAATCATCAAAAGTTAATGGCGATCATTTTTGAGGTTTCATATGGTTTCATCTTCTGATTTGTTTTACAGCAGCGTAACCAAATATTTGAATCAGTGCCTTTTTTTGGATGGCTATGGGGAGAGTTACCATTCGACTGCTTAAACTTGAACATCCTGAGTAGCTGTCAAAGCAATGATCGAGAAGGCCGCTCTTGCATGGTCATTCGCATCCCATCAAGTCTCATCATATGCCATTAACTAACGGCTGGAACCCCGGTAAATGGGTCTAAAAGCATGGCTTGGAAATGTTTGGAAGATACATTTGTTTGTTTTCCCGTGTGTTTTACCACGCTCCAAACCATTCAAAAACGAGGCAACCAGTCCTTTGTTCCGTGGGACTCACTGTATATATCCACTGCTTCAAGGTGTTGCCCCCCGTATTGGAAGTTTGTCTCGTTATGTGGTTCTCAAAGTGACAAACTGAGGCACCCTTCATCAAAAATCCCCATGATAGTCCCATAGCCCATATCCATCATCCATCAACATACATCAGTATCCATTAACATAATTAATTATAATAACATTGATTCATATCCATAATCATCCATTGATATTCCATGAATATCCAATGATTATCCATGTTTTATCTCATTAAATCACAAAAACATGCTATCCCTAGTGGATCCCCATGCCATGCCAGGCTATGAGCACCTCCTGGAACAGATCGCGCGCATCCCGCGTCTCGGGTCATTGAACTTGGCCTGTGGCTTGGCTGAGCAACTGGGGGTGGGGGAGAATGATATCCCCCGGGAAAGTTTCACACCTGGACACATGTCCCTTTTTAGGGAAATAATGGTAACTACCCTCTGGTAAACTAACAGTTTGCGAACTTGAACATGGTCATAGAAATAGTGGATTTCCCCAGCTATAAAATGGTGATTTTCCATAGTTAAGTAAACGTTTACCAGAGGGTAATCTGTACTAATGAGCATACTAATATCGGCAGCTGGTGGTTTTTTCAAGGTGAAGACCATCGGTCCACTGCCAATAAAACAGGGAATTTAACACTTCAATGCACATCCAACCTCAATAAAGATCAATTTGGGAACAGGTCAGTACCAAATATATAAAAACAATCCACTGTTCTGGTTGGTGGTTTGGATTTTTTTTATTTTTCCATATATTGGGACTGTCATAGTCCCAACTGACGAACTCCATCATTTTTCAGAGGGGTAGGCTCAACCACCAACCAGTGTTATTCAAATCGCATCATAGACTCTTCTGTTTATGCTTGGGATGTTCACTGAAGTGGGGTGATTGATATCCCATTCGAATCAGAGGACTTGGAGGTGCAGTTGGTATAGGATTACTGGAGTAACGTGTTTCCTGATATGTTTTGCTATTTTTTCTCCAGTCATACACCCTAGTCACATATGGGTTTGTCATGAAATTGAGTACCTCAAAATCTTATGGTTGATCATCATTGTCCTGATAAATGACTGTATCCCATTTTCGCATTTGGGTACCATAGTATCATACGTAGTGAAAAATGACGCATTCTCTTTTGGGAACAGCTTAATTATCAAGCCAGAACAATTGGATGCTGAACTTCTAAAACGAAGCTAACTACTTAGTGTTGATGCTAACAGGTTTTGGTGAGTCTGTCTCAACATTATCAACCACAAACCTTTGTGGTTCATGGTTTCAGATGAACATGTTCCAGCCAGGTGCAGTAAGTTACTGGAGAGTACCCTTTAAACAAAATAAAAGGGTCTGATCTTACATTGTATGTAAGCAATAGGTACAATTTTTATATTATTGTCAGCTGAGGCAACTCCATCAGCAGCTTACAGGTGGATCTGTCCGGGATCTGTTGGGATTTGTTCGGAACGCACATATTTGACGACTTGTTTGGTTGCAAGGGGCGTTGGTTAAACTATCCATGTCTTGGATTTATGATACTGATTTCTAGATTTGGGTTGGTTCAATCGTGGGAAAACGTAACTTGAACAGGAGTTAAACTTAAAGATGGCCAGATATTGGGGCGTAGTAAACATCCGTAAACATCCGTTAAACCCCCCTGCACGACAAATCCAGATCAATTTGCCTAAATCTACCAAATTGGGTCATTACACCACTTGGGAATTTGCTGCTTGAACCGAACTGGTGTATATATAACGCGGAAAGACATGGTGAGTTTGATTCGTAATTTTTGGTGGTACATTGAGTGATCGGGCGATATCGAAACCTAGGATATACAGTGCCCAAAAGATTTTATGGTTGATTGGGTCATCATTTTTCCATGCAAACAAGAATTTTGGGATCATACGAAAACATATGATCATCATATTCCCCATTTCATTGTCATCATATTCCCCATTTCTTGGAGAAAACAAATTTCTCAGTGACAAGTTCCAACATGTGAAATCACAGCCTTGCGATTCGCATCGATTCGCATCAACACTTTGGAGATGGGAGTGCCATCGTGTCCCACCTTAGACATCTTTGATGTTGGGAAGCTGACTGAATTATCATGTATCAGCTCATCTAAAGGCAACATATTAAATTATTATATAATTATATATACATTATATATGTATATACATATTGAGTAATATATGTTCTATTGAGAATTATTTAGATATAACTTGTCTGTATCAACTCTGTCATCTTGAAATTATCACCTTTGATATTTCCTCTATATACAGTCACCCCAATGGGGTTCCGGTGAACCGTCGCGAGATCCAACGGGTCAGGTAGGACATGGCATCCTACGTTGCCTGGAGGTGCCAAGATAGTCTATGAAAATGGTGGCTCCACCATTAAGGATAGTGGTTTAACATGGTTTAACCCGTTTAACCATCAAACATGATGCGGAAATGATGTGTGTGTGCATATATATATATATATGGATATATATATAATATATATATGTAATTTGCGTATGGCACACAGGATGACAGTTTGAGTCGTTCATGGCCGTTGGCGAGTTTGACGATATTGCATAAGAGTCCCAACACTTTCAAACCTGCCAGGGGCTCTTGACTGGCTTGGCTTGGCTGCTGAAATGTGTTATTGTCCTTGATCTGTTGTAGCTGTTTGATTTTAAAATGGTAGTACAAGTGCAATGGCATTTGCAATTATGCACATCTCTTGTACTTCAAACATGCTGCAGCTCAAGGCAAATTATTGGAGGTCCATTTGGCACAATGGTTTCAACGACTTCGGAATCCATATCGAGAATGACTTCGCACGTTTTTTGAGTGTTTGTTTTCTGTGTGGATTACATCTATTTTCTGCCATGGAGACAGTGAATGGAATGAATCTGTTTGCGTGGCAAGGGGTTGCTGCTGCCGCGGAACACATACAGCAACTTAGCAGAAGACACCACTGCGAACGGATGACAAGCAGACGCAGCCAAAGATGCTGTTGACATATACTAAGGTTGGTTACGCGCAGATGTTTGTAGATTCACGTTCTGCTTATGTACAGTAACTCTTGGAACTCACATAAACACAAACTATGTTGAATCCTCGCTGGCTTACTCCCAGCAAGCAACAACAAACTAAGATACTTTTACTAGTTTTCTCTTTTTGACTGGTATGTTCTATATATGCCATTGTTGTTGGTCATACTGTCCCATGCCATTGTAATGTTCGCTGTAATGTTGTATGTAATCCAATCAAATTACTTTTTGTCAGGATGGTTAACCCCGGTCAACATTTTTGAGATGGTGAGCAATGGTTTCCAGGATGTGTTATAATCCCATCTCCGCAATATTTAGCATCCCCATCCGTGTCCCCATCTGTGTCCTGTACTAAGCCATGGATTTTGAGGGGTGTTTTATAGGAACGGGGGAATGGATTATAGAATATTAATTCAGTATTAATTCAGTCATTTCTCATTAAATCCATCTATATCCCATCTATATCCCATGATTTTCCAGTTACATCGCTATTGAATTTTCCAATAGGGGATGGAAAAACAAACTTGACATCATACATTGAATGCCAGTTGTGATAGCTATCCGAACCACACACGTTCGTTTTTCAGCCCTGGTCCGGCTTCCCAGTATCACAACGTAGGTCTTAGATCTCTCCTTCAACGGTTTGCACGGCGATGTGCTGGGGCAGCTTGCAAGGTCCATTGGGAGTGATCTGAAGTGGCTAAAACACCTTAATGTTGTTGTTGGAACAACGGGTCGCATCAACTGAGCAGCGTTGGAGACACCACTGTTGCTTGATAATTTTACTACATAGACTCGGAAAGCATATATTAACCAACTAATGGAAAGACAGAGGGTTTTGAACACTGCTCACTGCTCAATCGGTGTTTCATAACAATGGGTGACTAGTAAAAAAACATTGCCGAACTTGAAAATGATGTATATTGTTGTATAGGTTCAAAGTTCAAAGGATATCCTGTGTAGCTCCTACAGCGATAGGTCACGGTTCATTGCAGTGACTTGCATCCAAATAATGGTGGATAATCCATCCATCTCAGTCATTGAAATGATATGGGTACAGTCAAAAAAAGACAGGGAAGATCTACAGTCACTCCTATATCATTGGTATACTGTTTCAGTGACTTGATGTTTTTTTCCCGCAATGGAATCACGACATTCAAGTGTGGACGGTTTGTTATATGGCAGTGTGTCAAAACCTTGTACCCCTGGTGAACATCAAAATAGCTGGTAAATGGATGTTCGTCCCCCTAAAAATGGTATTAATAGGTATTGATCCATACCCATATTGTTTTGGGGTCCAACACAAAATTGTGCAGTGGAAACAGTGCCCGCGGTCAAAGTTTGTTCAACTGCCACCTGGAGGTTACCGAATTTGATGTGGCTGAATTTGGCCTCGAATTGTATCTCCTCTTTACCGCCAGAAGGGGAGTTGCAAGGACTGCAGGCACACTGGGGAGTTGGACTTGGGTGAATCATCCTCAACAGGGTCGTAATTTGGTGCAACATCATAGGGTCACAAAGGCCAATGGGCCAATGGAGCACATATGACAGTTGGCAGCTGGCTTTTCGGGCTGAAGCGTACACCCTCATAACTCTATGTAGAGGTTGTGCAAGTACAATTGTATTGAAGCGGATTTGTGTCAAATCTGGTCACCCCTCAAGTTTGGATAGGGATTTTCGGCCCAGCAGGTTTTGACCATACCCATGTCCTAGTTCTGTTAGGTCATTTCCATCATATCAATGTCCGACTGTCATTTAAGCGGACCTCCAATGATCGGACTGGGACCAGGCAGCCTTGAAGCATCCCGTATTTTGGGGGTACCTGGACATTTTATATAATGGAAATAAGGTGGTCTACCTGCGGAGATACATGGGTCCATGTGACTGGACAATCCTGGAAAATCTCCAGTGACTACTTGTACTGTACCTAAACTGGATAGATACTGTAATTGCTTGGCGAGTTTAGGAGTATGACCCCCAAAAATGATTGCTACTTATCAGTGGGATTGAATCAACCAGAATCCGATCAGCTGGTTGTTTCACCCGCACAAGGTGGTACCCAGCCAGTGAACTAGTTCCATATCTCCCTCATAAACCACCAAAAACCCATCAATGTGCGTCTATATTTATGTTTACCAAAGTGGGGCACTACCTTTTTATGGCTGCATGAATAACAACGTTTGGTTTACCAATGGCTTGCCAATATTTACATTGAAGAAACTTATCACTACCAATTTTGCCTTCGCTAACCAAAACATTCTTATCACCATTCTAACCAAAGCATCCGCGCCATTGCTGATGAAGCCACCAGGTGTTGCAAGAGTTGATCTTAGACTACAATGACCTGGTCCAGTTTATGCAATGGCGGGGGCCCTGGGGGCCCCGGGACCCCCGGCGGGCCCGGTACCTGGAGGTACCTAGAAAGCTTGGGACACCCTGGACACCATGATCATCCTTACGTATATATATATATATATCATCCTATATCATCCTTAAATCCTGTAGGGAATATTCTATTTAGTAACAGTGAGATTATCGAACGAATTCATACTTTGTTAATCCCTTCCCCATCAAAGGAGAAACAACCTCCCAGCTAATACCCATGTTTTTTTTCGGGATTTGCATATGTTTGGGATCAGAGAATGGGGATGTTCAACATTGGGGAATAGGATGATGTGCCATATTGCTATTGGTTATATAAGTTATACATATATAATCATATATATATACCCTCTGGTTATTTAACATAGCCATGGAAAATGGTCCATTTATAGATGATTTACCTATTTAACACGGTGATTTTCCATGGCTATGTTAAATAACCAGATGGTATATATAATATCTCTTGAGGGATTCATGCCGACCAAAGATATTGAGATTTTGCCAGGCAATCATGTAAGAATTCGGGCAACAAGACCGGGGGTTGCAGAAACCAGTGAACACTTGGATTCATTTTGGGTTGACTTTAATTTTCCATGTTGGTTTAAGGAGTATGCTTCAAATCTAGGCAATGCGTTGTGGGTGTACATTTAAAGGGACCCACAAGCCACATCAAGCAAGCATACAGTGACAAATTTGGTCAACCAAAACATAAGAGGGTAGATGGGAGAGGCCGGAGATTGTGCCATCAGTCCGTGTCGGTTTCAAATGCGGCTAGTGTCCGATGTGACTGCTGGTGTCTTGCGTGGTATCTTGGGGATGATATCCAGCTGGGTCAGCTACTAAACCAGCGTCCACTGACACCTAGCCACTGATTCAGATATATTCAGATTCAGATATGATACGCAGTCTAGATTTGTTTGAAAATAAGGATGTCCAACTCCCGAAAAACATTGTTGATCATGGTTCCTCCCCCAGGTTTATCATAGTTTTCCTCATTGAAATTGCCATTATTAGGGATACTGTATCACGTTTTTTGACCTACCATTTGTGGTGCTTTAAAGTCAATGTTCCCAGAATTATGTGCAACATTTCCCGATTCCCTTATTATGGTTATTTCCCCACCTGCCAGGTGAGGGTTGTTAGATTTTATCAGAGCTGTTCTCCTCCTCCTCCGCCTCCTCTGCCTCCTCTGCCTCCTCCGCCTCCTCACCCGCCGCCTCCTCCTCGCAGTCCAGATCCCAGTGGGCACAGCCGGACCTCCACCGCGAGCTCCAGATCCCAGTGGGCACTGCCGGACCTCAACCGCGAGTTGCAGATCGCAGTCAACCGCGACTTCCAGGTCGCAGTGGGCACTGCCGGACCTCAACCGCGACTTCCAGATCGCAGTGGGCACTGCCGGACCTCAACCGCGACTTCCAGATCGCAGTGGGCACTGCCGGACCTCAACCGCGACTTCCAGATCGCAGTGGGCACTGCCGGACCTCAACGGGAAGAATGTGAGAAAAGATGTCAGATAGAATGTCAGAAGATATGCCAGATAGAATGCCAGAAAGAATGTCAGAAGATATGCCACACAGAATGTCAGAAGATATGCCAGAAAGAATGTCAGAAGATATGTCAGATAGAATGTCAGAAGATATGCCAGATAGAATGCCAGAAAAAATGTCAGAAGATATGCCAGATAGAATGTCAGAAAGAATGTCAGAAGATATGCCAGAAAGAATGTCATAAGATATGCCAGAAAGAATGTTCTGAATGCCACAAGATATGCCAGAAAGAATATCAGAATATATGCCAGATAGAGTGCCAGAAAGAATGTCAGAAGACATGCCAGATAGAATGCCAGAAAGAATGTCACAAAAAATGTCAGAAGATATGCCAGATAGAATGTCAGAAGATATGCCAGATAGGATGCCAGATAGAATGCCAGAAGGTATGCCAGATAAAGTGCCAGAATGTTTGCCAGATAGAATGCCAGAAGATTTGCCAGATAATATGGCAGAAGATATGCCAGATAGAATGCCAGAAGATATGCCAGAACATATGCCAGAAGATATGCCAGGTAGAATGCCAGATAGAATGCCAGAAGATATGCCAGATAGAATGCCAGAAGGTATGCCAGATAGAATGCCAGATAAAATGTCAGATAGAATGCCAGAAGATTTGCCAGTAACAAAATGTATAAATGCCATGGTGGGGATCACACGAAGTAAAGTAATTCATGTCTCTCATTGTTTGACTAACTCGTGTCGTAATGTTGGTTGCACCTCCCACTATGTCTCAGAGAATGGACGGTGGAATCCCCAAGTGCGCGCATGCTCGTCCCATGGTCGGTGATATCTCTGTGCAAATCTCCATATCATATCCCGTCATATCCCCATCGTTTGTGAGGTGACCCACGTGTTTTGTTCATTCTATTTTGTGTGACAGAAAATACTTGGGAGCAGTTAATTAATCATGTGGATATCACATTTGACGGTCCATGGCCTACGTGCAGCCCATGGATATTATGGCTATTACCCACTTGAGCAGTGGCTTCAAAACTCTTCTTGGATGATGATCAGATCGAGGGATTATACTGCACTTACCTGTTAATTTATTCTGGGGATCATCATCATCATCATCATCATCTTCATCATCATCATCATCATTCATTTTCCATGAACCCGGGCTCCATCCTTATGCAACCATTATATGTATTTCTTATGTTGAAATTTGCAGTCATGCATTTATGTCATGGCCCCTTTTACAAACTCATGTTGTGCGCAATCTACGAGGATGTTGCCTAGGTGGAAGTGTGCGGTGCCATTTTTTGGCTCAAGGGTCCGGTGTTCAGAGTGTATCCTGAACGCTTAGAGAACTCTTCAGCGTCGCACACGTAAACCTAGCAATATCTCCCTATATCCATCTATATCCCATGATATCGCCATGATTTTCTCAATATGTTGCATGAAGTTTCCATGTGTTTCCCAGCGAAATGCCCATTCTTTGGGACCAGCGCAACTTCTAAGGCGATCCCTTGATGCGGTGCCGCAATTGAGGTGCGACTTCTTGCGAGATTTGGGTCCGCAGGATCAACCATAATAGATAGATACGTGGATAGATAGATAGATAAATAGATAGATAGATAGATAGGTAGATAGATAGATAGATAGGTAGATAGATAGATAGATAGATGCAGGTTTACAGTGTAATACATGTATGTGCCTACCCATACATGTATGATCATATATGCATGGATATTTATATATTGGGATTGAATGGGGAGATCGCCAGCAATCATGGATATAGGTGGGGAACGTAGGCATGGTATCAACATTGAGCGTATTTTTTCTTCGGACCCTGGATATATCTATACGTAACCAACAATATGATATGCTTTTTCCGCTCACAACGGTGCTAATTAAGCAACACAAACCCGTAATTTCACCAGCAATAACAGTTCAGAGAGAAGGACATATGATGATCAACCGTTATTAATGGGGGGCTACTTGGGGTTATTTTACTTTTGGACAAACCCTTAAATGCACAGTTCTTCACATCCCGACAACAAAAGAGCTACAGTATCAGGGTCTCATCTCGAAAAGCGTGCTTGATTCTTCACTGGGACGTTAGGAACCTACGGTATTATATATATATATATATATGGGTTCCTCCAACTTGTTGTTTCGAAGGTGGCAACTGGTTGCTTTTCTTCTTAGGTTTCCAGAAACTACATTTTAAATGACACTCTGACCAAGGGTGTTTTTTTCTTTCTACCGTAGTTTAAGGATGTAAACATACAGAATCATACATATATATATATACCGTTTTATAGTCACGTCCAGCAGGTTGGAATGTGGTAGTTGGCACATCTTGACTATTGACACCCTGACCACAGTGTACACCAGGAAGTTGTCTTTGGTTTCCAATCGCGTGAAGCGGCTCAAGGACGCACGGGGAAGGTGTGGAACGGACATGTTTCTCCTTGGGGCATCCCACTTAGTAAGTGGTTAATATAGCCCTGTATAAAGCCTATGTTGAAACATATTATCAAAGGAAGTTGGGAAGCAGCCTTCCGAGTTACGAATGACTGGAATAGCAGTAACAATACATCACATAACAATACATCACACAACAATACATCACACAACAATACGTCACAGAACAAAACATCACACAACAATACATCACACAACAATACATCACCTAACAATACATCACATAACAATACATCACAAAAGTGGTGACCTAGGGAAGTGGTGACTTAGGGAAGTCAGGGAAGTGGTGACCTAAAGAAAGTGGTGACTGCATCACAAGTGGTGACTTAGAGAAGTGGTGACCATTTAGGGAAGTGGTGACTTAGGGAAGTGGTGACCTATAGGGGAAGTGGTGCCCTGGGGGTTTGTGTTGGGGAGGAAGCCAGAGCACGCAACCTTGTGTTTTTCCATGGAAAGTGGCTGCAGCCGGCGATGAAAGTTACCTCGTGTGTGCGGCGGGTGCGAGTGCGATCGTTTCGATGCGTAATCGGTTCTCCCTTGGTGTGTGTTCTGCAACGTGTGGTTGCTCATGTGTGCGTAGTTATTGGGTGTTTTGGAACCTGTGCTTGCAGATCGCCGTGTAATGGCTGCATGATGTTGTCACGTTTTGTTGCCATGTGTGTCGAGACATGCGGGTTAGACACGTGATGCTGCAAAACGCATCGTAATGCTGCATGAATGCGCACGTGTCACTGCAAAAGGCAATGTAATGGCTGCATGAAGGTTTCTCGCTGCGGCGGCTGCGCGCGTAATACTATTGTGTTTTGCAGCTGGGCATCGCATATCGTATTGGAGTGGCTGCATCAAGGTTACGATACTTATTTGTCAGCAGATTTTTCAATTTGGTGCTGGTGATTTTCCTTTATAAATTCCTTTTAAAAAGTGCTTCAAAATCGTTTTTTTCGCTTTGGCGCCGAGATCCGGTTTTGGAGGTGCCTGTTGCCATTGTATGCAAGAAATAGCTTCTCTGTCTGTAAAAGCTTCTCTGGTGTAAAGCTTCTCTGTGTGAAAGCTTCTCTGTGTGTGTGTGTGTAAAAGCTTCTCTGTGTGTACAAAGTAGTCCTGGGAAGTACTTTGTCCATGTCTTGTAGCACAAAGTAGTACTGGGAAGTACTTTGTGCAAGCTTTGTAGTACAAAGTAGTACGGGGCAAGTACTGGGAAGTACTTTGTGCAAGCTTTGTAGTACCAAGTAGTACTGGGACGTGCTTTGTGCAAGCTTTGTAGTACCAAGTAGTACTGGGACGTGCTTTGTGCAAGCTCCGTAGTACAAACCAGTGCTGGGAAGTGTTTTGTGCAAGCTTTGTAGTACAATGTAGTAATTTATGGGACGTGCTTTGCGCAAGCTTCCCAGAACTTCCTAGATTGCTTAAATGAGAAGATGGCTTAATTAAGCAATCTTATAGATTGCTTAGCTAAGCAATCCAAAATTTAACGTCGAAGTTGTAACCTGGAAAGTTTTGTTTTTTTTGTGGCAAAGAGAAGTTGAACTTTAGAAATGGACTCACAACCTCCTCTATAGGAGGTTGTGCTTACACCTCTCTTTGAAGAAACCATCCTCTGAGGAGGTGTTCTTGTCATATTTCTTGGAATAACTCTTTCTCTGAGGAGATCTTCTTTCCACATCCCTTTCAAGAAATCATTTTGCAACCGCGGCTCTTGGAGAGGAGTATAAGTATAGGGCTCAAGTCAGGAGCAAAAACATCTGAAAACAACTATGTGCAAGTGCCCTCTTCACAGTAAAAAACAATGTTTCATGCAAGTATTTTAAACACGCATTTTAGGCAAAGGTCCTCTTCAGAAGACACATTTTCAAGAAACATGTGGCATGCAAGGATCTCCTCTCAGGAGATCCTTGTCCAAAAGTTTCTTGACTGCTCTGGCCCAGCAGGCAGAGCTCCCAGCTACATGGGCCAACAGCTTTGCAAGCTGGAAAGCAGCGATTGCTGCTGCCATGCTTGTACAGGTTCTGGGTGAAGCTGTCCCGTCCAGGGTGTTCAAGCATTGTGGGCATTGCACAGCACCAGGCTTGAAAGCAGCAATGCATTTGCCCCAGCATCCACACAGAACCAAGTCTGGATTTCTTTGCTCAGAGAACTTACTTTGTGCTGTCAACTTCCTAGTGCATCATCTTGGACGATGCTCTCAGAAATTGGAAAGTGTTCCATCAAAATTTCCATCTTGTATTTTTGTACCATTGGTGTCCAAGTGCACAGTGCCCCTGGAAAGGATATAACTCACGGCTCCCATTCCAGCTGGTCCTTTGGTTCAATTAATTTTGGTATCTGCATGTCCCCCTAGAACTCCATATTTTGCCTACTCTAGTTAGTAGCCAGTTGGTAGTGAATAGCCAGGAGTTACAGTATAGCTAGTAATAAATGGTCAGTAGTTGGAGGTTAGCCAATTCACCTTGCCTGCGCTAAGTAAAGGATATAGTTAGTAGATAGTAGTGAGTAGCCAGTACTTAGTAGTGAGTAGCCATTAGTTGAACATTGAGCAGTGGGTAGGGGGTGGTGGGTAGTGAATAGCAAGTAGCTGGTAGCATGTGGGGGTGTCTCAAAATGAGATGGTCATTTTATTCACTCTTCAAGTGACATTTTTGGAACCAAAAAAACAGTTTTGATTCTCCTACATATTCATGTAGCAAGTGGTTGGTAGTTAGTGATAGCGGTAAAAGTAGCTAGCATTTAGTATTCAGTAGTTGCTCTGCTACTTGTAAGTAGGAAGTAGTCAGTAGTTAGTAGTGAGAAGGGTGCAGTGGATAGCAAGAAGTTCTTAGTCGGAAGTTGGTAGTGACAAGTTTTGTAGCTAGTAGCTGGTAGGTAGTTAGTAATGAGAAGTGGGCAGTGGGTGGTGAGTGGGTGATGGGCAACCAGTACCCAAAGTAGTATATAGCCAGTTGTGAGTTGTGAGTTGTCTGCAATGATTGTGGATAGTGGCCATAGGGGGCATACCATTCTTCCTAGGAGTGTTGGTGGGCAAAGGAAGCCATTAGGAAACAATCCTCTGGGGAGAGTTTGCGGAAAACAGGACAATCATAGACATCACTCCTCTGAGGAGTGTTTATGGGCAAAAGGAACCATTTTAGACACCATGCATTGCTCTGAGAAATATGTTTTTGGGCAAAGCAAACCATTGTAGGGACCATTCCTCTGGGGAGTGTTTATGGAAGACAGGAACAATCATAGACATCACTCCTCTCAGGGGTGTTTATGGGCAAAAGGAACCATTATAGACATCATGCATTTCTCATTTCTCTGAGAAATATGTTTTTGGGAAAAGCAAGCCATTGTAGGGACCATTCTTCTGGGGTGGGTGGGTGGAAAACAGGAGCCGTTATAGGCACCACTCCTCTGAGGAGTGTCTATGGGCAAAGGAAGCCAATAAAGGGACCATTCCTCTGGGGAGTGTTTGTGGAAAACAAGGCAATCATAGACATCACTCCTCTGAGGAGTCTTGATGGGAAAAAGGAACCCGTATAGACATCATTGCCCTGAGAAACATGTTTATGGACAAAGCAAACCATTGTAGGGACCATTCCTCTGGGGAGTGTTTATGGAAAACAGGAAGAATCATAGACATCACTCCTCTGAGGGGTGTTTATGGGCAAATGGAACCATTATAGACATCATGCATTGCTCTGAGAAATATGTTTTTGGGAAAAGCAAGCCATTGTAGGGACCATTCTTCTGGGGTGGGTGGGTGGGTGGAAAACAGGAGCCGTTATAGGCACCACTCCTCTGAGGAGTGTCTATGGGCAAAAGAAGCCAATAAAGGGACCATTCCTCTGGGGAGTGTTTGTGGAAAGCAAGGCAATCATAGACATCACTCCCGTGAGGAATGTTTATGGGCAAAAGGAACCATTATAAACATCATTGCCCTGAGAAACATGTTTATGGACAAAGCAAACCATTGTAGGGACCATTCCTCTGGGGAGTGTTTATGGAAGACAGGAACAATCATAGACATCACTCCTCTGAGGGGTGTTTATGGGCAAATGGAACCATTATAGACATCATGCATTGCTCTGAGAAATATGTTTTTGGGAAAAATAAACCATTGTAGGGACCATTCCTCTGGGGAGTGTTTGTGGAAAACAAGGCAATCATAGACATCCCTCCCCTGAGGAGTGTTTATGGGCAAAAGGAACCATTATAGACATCATTGCCCTGAGAAACATTTTTATGGACAAAGCAAACCATTGTAGGGACCATTCCTCTGGGGAGTGTTTATGGAAAATAGGAACAATCATAGACATCACTCCTCTGAGGGGTGTTTATGGGCAAAAGGAACCATTATAGACATCATGCATTGCTCTGAGAAATATGTTTTTGGGAAAAGTAAACCATTGTAGGGACCATTCCTCTGGGGAGTGTTTGTGGAAAACAAGACAATCATAGACATCCCTCCCCTCAGGAGTGTTTATGGGCAAAAGCAACCATTATAGACACCATTGCTTTGAGACATATGTTTATGGGCAAAGCAAACCATTGTAGGGACCATTCCTCTGGGAAGTGTTTATGGAAAACAGGACAATCATAGACATCACTCCTCTGAGGAGTGTTTATGGGCAAAAGGAACCATTTTAGACACCATGCATTGCTCTGAGAAATATGTTTTTGGGCAAAGCAAACCATTGTAGGGACCATTCCTCTGGGGAGTGTTTATGGAAGACAGGAACAATCATAGACATCACTCCTCTCAGGGGTGTTCATGGGCAAAAGGAACCATTATAGACATCATGCATTGCTATGAGAAATGCTTATGGGCAAAGCAAACCATTCTAGGGACAATTCCTCTGGGGATTGTTTCTGGGAAACAGGAGCCATTATAGACCCATAGATATACCATTACAGAGACCACTGCTTTGAGGAATGTTTATGGGCAAAGGGTGCCATTACAGTTGTTGATTT